TGGCAGACTCGCTCTATGGCAGCCCCCTCCCCATGGCCTTCTCCCTCCAACTTTCCTCCAAGGCAGTCCCACCGCATGGCAGCCTCCCCTCAGATTCTCCCTCCTCCCTCAGCTCCCTCACCCACCCCCGCAGCCGGCCACTCACGCATCCTCCAGGCAGTGCGCCGCGCTCAGCACCCACCGCTCTGCCAGCAGGACGCCGCCACACAGATGGGTCCCGTTCACCTGCACCGACGCCATGTAGGGCCGCTCGTGGGCCTGGGCCTCCTGCCCGCCCAGGATCCGTCCCCGGGGCTGTGCCGCTGTGGTGGGCAGGCAAGGGGGAGAACCGTGTGTGTACTTGAACCCCAGCACACCCCATCTGATCCAAGCCTGCCCTGAGATGCCCTCACATACCCTCCCATCATTGTCCTGCCCCCCCCCCAGGAGCTGCAACTGAAGCAGACGCACCCGAGTACCCGGCTCTTGGGCACACTGGAAGCCTGTACCCTGAGCCCAAACCTAAGTTGCCACTGGAGAGTTTCAGGTTCCCGCTGTAGAGGATGTGCACTTAGACGGCAGGATGACAGGCTTTCACTGTAAGGGCTGTCCGTTTGTGGACAGTCGGCCCCACCTTCAGCCTGCCTGCTGGGCCTGGGCAGGATGGGTCTCAATTGACTTCTGTGCATGCCGCTGCCCAGCACCCCTCCCACATCCACTCACCACACGCAGCCACCCCCAGGAGAAGCAGAGCTACTAGGCGCGCCATGCTGAACACGGAGCCCCTTGTGGCTGGGACAATGACCCAGGCCGGTCAGGAGCCCTTTTATGGCTGGGGAGGGGGGAGGGGGACCCAGCTGCTGCTTTGGCAGTGGCCCAGCTGGGGAAAGCGAATCCACCCACCCAGCCTCTCTGCCTTCCAGAGTTTGAGCAGGCCCATGGGTGAGCCACCGCTTCCCTGCCTCCCCCCACACTCCCTGCCATTTAGCCAGTGCCCACCCTATGGGAAGCAGCCCCTGAGATGAAGGAGAGGAGGGCTAGACCGCCCAGCCCCCTACTCTACTTCTCCCAGACCTCAAGTGTCCTTCTAGCTTGAAGTTTCACAATCAGAGGCTGAGTTTGTAAACAACCCACTTCTATCTTCCTAACTCCCTCTCTGTTCTTTCTCTGTCAGCTTGAAGATAAAGTCCAGCCGGGTGCTGGTGGCTCACTCCTGTAATCCTAGCTACTCAGATCTCAGGATCACAGTTCAAAGCCATCCTGGGTAGGAAAGTCTGTGAGACTCTTATCTCCAGTGAACCACCAGAAAACTGGAAGTGGCGCTGTGGCCTAAATGGTAGAGCACTCACCTTGAGCTTAAGAGCTGAGGGACAGCATCCAGGCCCAGAGTTCAAGCCCCCATGACTGACCAAAAAAAAGCAGGGGGATTGGGAAGGTGGCTCAGTGGTAGAGTGCTTGCCTTGCATGCATGAGGCCCTGGGTTTGAATCCTCAGCATCTCATAAGCAGAAAAAACCAGAAGTGGCACTGTGGCTCAAAGTGGTAAGGTGCTAGCCTTGAGCTGAAGAGCTGAGGGACAGCACCCAGGCCCAGAGTTCAGGCCCATGACCGAAAAAAAAAAGAAAAACTCCAGTAGGGCTAGGGACAGTCACTAACAGCCTTGCCCCCATACCCTGATGGCATTTCAGGGCCTGACACTCCAACAGATAGAATGTTGGGAAGATGGGAGGGAAGTACAGGCAGCTAAAGAAAATGAAGTCCAGGGCTGGGAAGGTGGCTCAGTGGTAGAGCGCTTGCCTTGCATGCCAGAGGCCCTGGGTTCGATTCCTCAGCACCACATAAGCAAAAAGAAAAAAGCCGGAAGTGGCGCTGTGGCTCAAGTGGTAGAGTGCTAGCCTTGAGCTGAAGAGCTGAGGGACAGCGCCCAGGCCCAGAGTTCAAGCCCCACGACCGGACCCAAAAAAAATAAAATAAAGAAAATGAAGTCCAATGTAATGGAGCCTTCAATCAGGAAAGCTAAATGGGAAGTTTGGGGTTTTCTGCCATCAGGTATGGCTTGATCCAGGTTCCTGAACAATGTCAGGAGTTGGATTCTGGTTTCTCCTTTCTTCCTTGAAGGCCCTTGTCCTCACCAAGGTCCCTTCTAAAGGTCCCATGGAGGCTAAACTGACTGGTGGCTCCATGAGCCAGTCCCTCCTAAAATCCCCATTATACCAACCCAAGTGTCAGGGCTGCCTATGATTGGCTGAGCTGTCTATGATTGGCTCCTTCTTGAACTAATCATTATAGGATTAAAGGCTGGACCTAACACATTTGTTGAAAGCAGATTTTAAAGAAGAGGAAAAAACCAAGTAGCACAGTATACCCTCTGCAACTGGAGAAAGGCAAGGCGCCAGTGACTCATGCCTGTAATCTTCACTAGCCAGGAGGCTGAGATCTGACAACTAAGGTTCAAAGCCAAACCAGGCAGGAAAGTCCATGAGACTTTTGTCTCCAACAAACTACCAAAAAAATCAGAAGTGGAGCTGTGGCTCAAGTATTAGAGCACTAGCCTTGAGCACAAAGGTTCAGGGACAATGCCCAGACTCTGAGTTCAAGCTCCAGGAACAGCACCAAAAAAAACCCAAAACATAACAAAAAGCAATTTGTCAGAGAAGTTGATAAATCTTAGATTGTGCAAACAAGAACATCCAAAGTTGCAACCAAATTTGGAAAGCATCCAGGGACCCAGCTAGAAGGGACAGTTCCATAAACAACCCTGAACTTGTACAGCTGCTGCTGACATGCAAAATTCTCCGAACTGTATTTAGTGGAAGAAGAGATCACAAGGCAGGAGGGAGAGGGGAGGGGAGGGGAGGGGCTGCCCAGAGAAGGGCAGTGGGCAGAGCCCTGAGGCGGGGACTGAGGTAGACCATGTGCTTAACACGCTCCCCAACACTGCACACACATCCAAAGAGGGTCTTCGCTGGGCACTGGTGGCTCACGCCTGGAATCCTAATACTCAGGAGGCTGAGCTCTGAGAATCATAGATCAAAGCCAGCCCATGCAGGAAAGTCTGTGAGACTCTTATTTCTCGATTACTCACCAAAAAGCCAGAGCTTTGGCTCCAGTGATAGAACACTAGCCTTGAGAGGAAAAAAGTCCAGGGCAGTGCCCAGGCCCTGAGTTCAAGTCTCAAACAGGCACGCGCGTGCACGCGCACACACACACACACACACAAACACATAACCCCCACACCTCGTAGCTGGGATAAAAATTGTATCTGAGGGCTGGGAAGGTGGCTCAGTGGTAGAGTGCTTGCCTTGCATGCATGAGGCCCTGGGTTCCATTCCTAAGCACCACATAAGCAGAAAAAGCCGGAAGTGGCGCTGTGGCTCAAGTGGTAGAGTGCTAGCTGTGAGCTGAAGAGCTGAGGGACAGTGCCCAGGCCCAGAGTTCAGGACCCCCCCCCAAAATAAAAATTGTATCCAACCCTGACCACACGCCCAGCCATTGGTTGAAGTAGAAGCTCTCAAACTTTTTTGGGGGGCCAGGGTGGCCTCAAATTTTGATTTGCCACCTGCCTCTCAAGTAGCTAACATTATAGGCTTGAGCCACTGTACCCCATGATCCAGTGAAAGTAGGTGTGTGTGTGTGTGTGTGTGTGTGTGTGTGTGTATACATGCCAATCTGAGGCTTGAACTCAGGGGCTTGGGTGCTGTCCTTGAGCTTTTTCTCTCAAGGTTGGTGCTCTACCATTTGAGCCACACCTCCACTTCCAGCTATTTACTGGCTAATTGGAGATAAAATTCTCAGGAACTTTCCTCCTGAGTAGCTAGGATTACAGGTGTAAGCCACTGGGGCCAGTGAAACTGGATTTTTTTTGGGGGGGGGCAGTTGTGCAGCTTGAACTCAGGGCCTGCCCCTGTCCCTGAGCTACTTTTGTTCAAGGTTAGAATTCTACCACTTGAGCCACAGCACCACTTCTGGCCTTTTCTGTTTATGTGGTACTGAGGAATGGAACCCAGGACCTCATTCATGATAGATTTGTTTGTTTGTTTGTTTGGGTCCAGTCGTGGGCCTTAACTCGGGCCTGGGCACTGTCCCTCAGCTCTTCAGCTCAAGGCTAGCGCTCTACCACTTGAGCCACAGCGCCACTTTTTTTTCTTTTTGCTTATGTGGTGCTGAAGAATCGAACCCAGGGCCTCATGCATGCAAGGCAAGTGCTCTACCACTGAGCCACCTTCCCAGCCCCTTCATTCATGATAGGTAAACATTGTACTGCTATGTTCCCAGCCCTGAAGCTGGATTTTAAAGAAAGAAAAAAGAAATGGCAGAAGATATCCTTTTATAGGCAGTGGGAAAAGGCCAGGTGCTAGTGGCTGATGCCTTCAGGAGACTGAAATATGAGGATCCAGATTCAAAGCCAGCCAGAGAAGAAAAGTCTGTGAAAGTTTTATTTCCAACTAACCAGCAAAAAGACAGAAGTGAAGCCAGGTGTCGGTGGTTCATGCCTGTAACGGTTCAAAGCCAGCCCGGGCAGAAAAGTCCGTGAGACTTTTTTTTTTTGGGGGGGGGGATTGTGGTCTTGGGGCCTGAACTCTGGGCCTGGGTGCTGACCCTCAGCTCTTCAGCTCAAGGCTAGCACTCTACCACTTGAGCCACAGCGCCACTTCTGGCTTTTTTTTCCTGCTTATGTGGTGCTGAGGAATCGAACCCAGGGCCTCAAGCATGCAAGGCAAGTGCTCTACCACTGAGCCACCTTCCCAGCCTGTCCATGAGACTCTTATCGCCAATAAACCACTAGGAAACTAGAAGTGGTGCTGAAGAGCTGAGGGACAGTGTCCAAGCCCAGAGTTCAAGCCCCATGACTGACCAAAAAAAAAAAAAAAGCCGGAAATGACACTTTGGTGCAAATGGTAGAACACCAGCCTTAAGCGACAAAGCCATTTGAGAGCACAAGGTCTTGAGTTCAAGCCCTTGTACTGGCATCAAATAACAGAAAGAGGAAGGGAGGAAGGGAGGAAGGGAGGAAGGAAGGAAGGCAAGAAGGAAGGAAGGAAAGAAAGGAAGAAGGAAGGAAGGAAGCAGGCAGGCAGGCAGGCAGGCAGACACACTGGGCTTTGAGCAAAAAAAAGCTCAAGGACATCATCTAGGCCTTGGCTTCAAGCCTCAGGACTTGAGAAAAAAAAAGCAGAGGAGGAAGGGAAGGGAGGGAGGGAGGGAAGGAGGGAGGGACAGTGGGGGAAGGAGGGACAGACTTATTTCTGGTCCTAATGTCTTGACACTGCTGCCACTAGGTGGCGGTGTACTCAAGAGAGTCTGTACTCACTACTAACTTTTCTTAAGGCTCAGTTGCACCAACAAGGAACACCAAACACATATTCTACAAAACGTCGGGAACTTTTATTGTTCAGCACAGAAAAAAGCCTCTTAGGTAGCTGAGGTGGAGTGGCCAGGGCGGTCTGCCCTAGTTGATCCCGCTTGCTGGGTCCCTGAGGTGGGGAACGGGGTGGTTGTCCTGGCGTCGAATAATGGAGTTAATCCAGTTGGCAAACTGCGCCACTGGTGCGAAGGCATCGGGGTAGATGCCAGAGCCGCAGCTGCCCCGGATGAAGGAGTCGATGCCTTGGATCAGCCCGTTGCAGATCAGGGGCCCGCCAGAGTCCCCCTGTGCAGATGGAGAGGGTCTGAGGCTGGACCTTGAGACTCCTACCTGCCCACCAGGGTGGGGAAGACCTTCCTGGGGTCTGACCACTCCTTGAGGCTTGAGTAGCTGGGGCTGGGTGCAGAGGGGAGCACGGGATACTTACAAAGCAGATGCCGGCCCGTCGGCGTGGAACGATTGTGCACACATTTACACCGCGTCGGCACTGAGACGTCACCACGGTCACGTTGAGTTCCTGCAGGACACTGGGCACTGGCTGGTTGGTGCCCAGCCTGCCCCAGCCCATGGCCAGGCACTGCGTCCCATTGCCCACACCTTGGCCCTGAGCTGGCAGCCTCGCCACCTGCACATTGGCATTGATGGTAGCCGAGCCAGTGAGCTGCAGTCAGAGGGATCAGAGACCAAGATGTCAAGTGGAGGCAGCAAAAGGAAAGCCTCCTTTCCTGGTGCCTCAGTTTCCTCATCTGTAACGTGAAACCACCTACAATGCTGCAGAGTTTTCCCTGGAGGAAGCTGGAGGTCAGTAAACATAGCAGGTGTTCAATAGCAGCCCTCTCTGCCATCTTTTTCTTTTCTTTTCTTTTCCTTTTTCTTTTTTTCAGTTGTGGGATTTAAACTCAGGGCCTGGGTGCTCTCCCTGAGCTCTTTTGCTCATGGCTAGTGCTTTACCACTTAGAGCCACAGCAATACCACTTCTGGTTTTCTGGTGGTTAATTGGAGATAAGAGATTCATGGACTTTCCTACCCAGGCTGGCTTTAAACTGTGATCCTCAGACCTCAGCCTCCTGTGTAGCTAAGATTACAGACGTGAGGGACCAGTGCCCAGCTTCAGCCATTATTTTGCAAGCCAAGAGTCAGGACAAAGAGGAAATCCTCTCAAGCCTTCCATTCGGCTGGGTGCCTTTGACTCGTGCCTCTAATCCTAACTACTCAGAAGGCTGAAATGTGAGGATCATGGTTTGAAGCCAGCCCAGGCAGAAAGTCCATAAAACTCTTAGCTCCAGTTAAAGCAGCAAAACGCTAAAACTGGAGTTGTGGCTCAAGTGGTAGACCACTAGCCTTGAACAAAAAGGCTCAGGGACAGGCTCACACCTGTAATCCTAGCTCCTCAGGAGGTTGAGATCTGAGGATCACGGTTCAATGCCAACCTGGGCAGGAAAGTCCGTGAGACTCTTATCTCCAATTTAAAAAACCCACCAGAAAACTGGAAGTGGTGCTGTGGCTCAAGTGGTAGAGCACTTACCTTGAGTTGAAGAGCTGGGGGACAGCGCCCAGGCCCCTGAGTGGTCAGCCTCCAGTACTGCACCCAATGCACAATCAAGTATCCCACCTGCCCCCCAAGGATGAACTTTTGCCTCATTCCCCACAGACAGGGACTGCCCGACACAGGGTGGGTGAACCAGGGGTTTGTTGACTGACAGCAGATGGGAACTTTCCTTTTTTCATCCCATTTAATCTCTTCACAGCTGTCCCAAGGACAGGTTACCAAAGTAGGAACTGAGGCAGAGTCAGGACGAGGTGCCCAGTTAGATCTGCCCTCTAGACCGCCCCCCACATCTGCCCCTACAGTGCCCCCCGCCCCCCACATCTGCCCCCACAGTGCCCCTGCCCCCCACACTTGGCCCTCACGCCTGCAGCTCTCCCCCTTCCCCAGGCCTGTCTCTTCCCTGGAGGCAGAGTCAGGACGAGGTGCCCAGTTAGATCTGCCCTCTAGACCGCCCCCCACATCTGCCCCTACAGTGCCCCCCGCCCCCCACATCTGCCC